TCTGTTTTGCTGTCTATCTTCACTTGAAACAAGGAGAAATAATTTCTTTTTTTGCTACTTGTCCTTTTTAACACATGGCAGATTGCACTGAGGAGCCATTACTACTATTTTGTTCTTTAGTCTGATCAGGAAAATAAATTTACATAAGATTGATTGACAAAGAATTTCAGTAGGGGTTGTATTCATGAGCGGACACAGGAATAGCTAACCACTATGGGGTTTGATGGTTTGTCAGACTTTGGAAAGCAAGTAGAATAACAGGGTTCCATATTAGTAGAGCATCTCCCAAGGAAAGGCATGTAGTTATGAGCCTCTGTTTAGTAATGTCACCACTTTCTCAGATGTTTTTAGGACAAATTACTAAGCTGATTATGAGTACAAATTCAGAGGTGGACATACAGATATTCCAGTTACTTTGTTTTAGGCCATGGTTAGGTTTCCTCACCACTCCACTTTAATCATCTGCAGAGATAGTAGGGTTCCTGCCTAACTTTTGGGGATGCTGTGACATTCAGTTTAATAATAATACCTCAAGATGTTTAGTATGGAGTCACCAAGATCATTTTTCAAGATGTAAATGTAATTAGTTTCTTTTTTGGCAGTACTGGGGTTTGAACTGAGGGCTTTGCACTTATTAGGCTGGTGCTCTACCACTTGAGCCCTGCCTTCAACCCTGATCCTTATTTTTTAAGCCCAATAATATTGAGAAATGCTTTTACACCAAAGACAGCTGACTGGATCTGACATCCATATGGTGCAACCTTTGTGTGCATATAATGTGGATTTTTGCCCTAGTATCTGGTTTTGTGGCATTAAAGATAATTCTGCAGTACACATTAAAAAATTTTACTGTGCTGCCTGGCATGATTCTGGTGTTTGCTTTAAAAATTTAGATTTACATCGATATTAATATTAATTATAAGAAACAAAAATTATTTGTTCATCTTAGTGCTAAACTTAGGAATTCTGTGCTTTTCATCTTACCTTTCTCTCCTGCATCCACTTCTCTACTAAAAAAAAAAAAAAGTCAGAGATTCTCTTACTTAAATGAGATGTGTATGACTTATGTGTCTCCTATAGAAATCATTTAACAAGTAAATACTATATTTGGAGTATTTCTTTATGAGAAGTGGATTTCAGATTTGGGGATGTATTTGCTTGTACATAATGAGATCTCTCGGGGATGGAACTTCATTTCTGTTTCATACCCACCCCATACTGCAAGTGACTTTATATAGTACAAATGCACTTGTATTTGACTGCAACTTATCATGAGATGAAGTACAGGATTTTCTACTTGTGGTGTCACGTCACCACCCAAAAAGTTAAAAGATTTTAGAGCATGTTGATTTCAGACTTTCAGATTAGAGTTGCTCAAGCTGTAGTCCCATTATTTCTTTGGTAACAGTTATATTATTGAAACTTTAATCTTGTGTATTTAAAAGTCAATTAAAGGCCACCATTTTCTAAATTTCAAATTTAGCATTAAAATTTCAAATTGACACTTTTAAAAACTAATTTTCGTATTTTAAGTATGTATTCTGTGTGGTAACTAGGATTTATAGTTAACATTTGAATTAGGAATCAGTTAAATTACAACCAGCATGGTAGCTCGTGCCTGTAATCCCAGTATTTAGAAATGGGTGGCTGGGGCAGGAGAATTACAAATTCTCGAGACCAGCCTGGATTGCATAGCAAGACCCTGTTTCAAAATAGGAAGGAAGGAGGAATCAAGAAAATCACTCAAGTTGGAATAAAATTTGATGCTTATATAAAATTGTATTAAGGGAAAATTGAAGAAATTTATTATTTTACAGCTTTTTTTTTTAACTTCACTGCTACCTAGAACTTAATTCTGTGCATACAAAAAATGGATTTATTTATTTAATTTTTTGCGGTGCTGGGGCTTGAACTCAGGGCCTACACCTTGAGCCACTCCACCAGCTCTTTTTTGTGGTGGGCTTTTTCAAGATAGGGTCTCCCAAACTGTTTGCCCAGGCTGGCCTCAAACTGTGATCGTTCTGCTCTCTGCCTCCTGACTAGCTAAGATTATAGGTGTGAGCCACTGGCATCCAGCTAAATTTTTTATTTTACTTTAATTTTTTTTGCGGGGGGCAGTACTTGGGCTTGAACTCAGGGCCTCATGCTTGCTAATCAGGTGCTCTACCACTTGAACCATTTTACCACCCAAAAAATGGTTTTTATTTTTTTAATGAATTGTTAAACAGAACTGTTAATAAATATTTAACTGGTCTGAGAAATTGTATGAGTTTCTTTCTTCTTCCACAAGAGGGCCTTCTTAGAAAGGCTTTTCCTAGTCAAGGTATTTCTGTGCCACTTTCATGACAACTGAACTTCCTTAAGAAAGAATTTCAGAGAAAACATAACATTCATTTCTTCCAAGATTTATACCTAGAAAATAATCCTTTTTGAGATGTTAGAAGGGGATATTTTAATAAATTTAGTCATTTTCTCATGTGTTAAAATGTAGTGTTTTCTACTTTGGAGCAGTGCAATACTAGGGTTTGAACTCAAGGCCTTATGCTTGCTAGGTAGGCACTCTACCACTTGAGCCATCCCCCCCAGTTGTTTTGGCTTTAGGTTTTTTTAGAATAGGGTCTGGTGTTTATGCCTGGGCTGGCCAGGACTGTAATTTTCCTTATATGCCTCTTGTATAGCTGTGATGACAGGTATTACACCTAGCTTTTATTGCTTATGGTGGGATCTCCTGAATGTTTTGCTCAGGCTGGCCTTAAAATGCTATCCTCCTGATCTCTACCGCTAAAGTAGCTAGGCTTATAGTAGTGAGCTTTCTGGCCAACAAATGCAGTATATTCTGTTCTCTAAAGGCTAGCCTCTAAGCAGGAATGTAAAGTAGACCCTTTTCACTAGCTTGACTTTATAGCATTGTATTCCCCTTTTTCTGTACTCTCACTGCCCAAAAAAGAAAAGCTCAGCAAGAATTGGGGTTTAAAAAGAACAGGTGCCATGTGAAGAGCTATGTCACAAATGCATATGTATAGGAAGAATGTTTTCTCAGATGAAGATTTTATTAGACTTCATCAAACTGAATGAAACTACTAAATGAGGTTTTGTTCTAAGTCCAGAACTCCAGATGATCCAACTCAGTGATATATCTGTCTTATAATGTCCTAATACTTCACTTTAGCATTTTTGAGAGGAACAAGAAGCAGGAATAGAAACGATTAGGAGTGTTTAGTTTCTTTCCAACTGTTCCTTATTTTACATTTACCTGAGTACAATGCCTTGAGAGAGCAAACTGGGGTGACTGGGAATCTTCTACATTTTCTTTGATTTCTCTCTGGCTACAGGGCCTGAGGAATTCATTCAAGGGTACCATGGCACTAAGTGATTAGTATAAAGGCCTGCTTATATTTTCAGTTCAGACTATTACATGACTTTTTTACTTGTCATAACTATTGGTTTATTTGCTATCAAACTAGCATGAGTAAAAATCACCTGAAGAACTTGTTAATAGCAGATATACAAGCCTCATCCTCAGGGATACTAGTGAAATAGATCTAGGATGTGACTAGGGCATCAAACTCCAATCCCAATGTGCTTTTGTGCAACTGGTTTGAAATTTAATGGAAAGAGCAAAGTTAATCTGTTTTCTTTTCTAGAAACCTGCTCTGCCAGTTCCATAACCTTGGGCAAGTTTCTTAATGTCTCTTAACCACATATGAAAAAAGGGGTAACACATTTCTCAAGATTGTAATGGGGATTAAGTTAGTTAACACATGGAGTAGTGGTTGTGATAGTTCTTGACCTACAGAAGGCATTCGGTAGATTAGATGCCCTCCTCATCACATGTAAATTTGAAGTCTGGCCCTTGTCTACTTTGCCAGTTACTTTCTTACAAATTCCTCTCCTTCAGCCATATTAGATTATTTGTTAAATAAGCACATCTTTGAGGCGTCTGAGCCTTTACCTCCATAATCACTTGTCCTTAGAATGCCTTGTGCTACTGCTTCTCTAGTATAATGTCTTCCTCTTTAAAACTGTTGCGTTCTCACAGCTTCTGTGACTCCTCTGCCCTTCGTGTATCCCCTTCCCCACTTACATACTGTATTCAGGCTGTTCCTGCTGAGCAGCATTTTGCTCTAACGAGCAGGCATGGGTATGAATTATGATGGTCTGCAAATGTGTGAGCTTGAGCAAGTTGTTTAATTCCTCAGACTTTTTTTTCTTTTTTTGGAGTGATGGGGCAGTACTAGGGTTTGATTTCAGGACCTAAACCTTGAGCCACTCCACCAGCCCTTTTTTTGTGAATGATTTTTCAATTTATTTCCTGGGCTGGCTTCGAACTGGGATCCTCCTGATCTCTGCCTCCTGAGTAGCTAGGATTACAAGTGTGAGCCACTGGTGCCCAGCTTTTTTTCTTTTTAATGTCTGTAATGGAAATAATATTACTGCATAATGTTGTACGAAATAAAAGGTACATGTAAAGTACCTAGCCATGAGTCTAACACATAAACACTGAATAAATAGCATCTGTGTCTGTTAGGATAGTGATTCTGTGTATCTTTCTCCGTATTAACCTTTCTATTTCTCAGTAATTATTTAATGAAGAAATGAATAGGCCCATGAGTAAATAACTCCAAAAGGCACTTGGAAAACTATCAAACACAATTTAAAGGTTTGCATTTGAATGTGGAGTTTTCTGACATGAAGCCTAATACTGTGTATTTTAAATTTCATTACAGCATAATTGCATATAGCCAAGTTAAGCTTTCAGAAAAAGACAGTTAAATTTGAATTTTAGAGTTCTTGCAGATTAGAGAAATGCTGGTTATTAAAGTTTAACTTGAAACTTAACTTTTATAACAAAAGCAGTCTTGAGATAATGGTTCAAGGGATATGATTATCATCAGAATAAAAATTCAGTGATAATTTAATAAATTCAGTGGTAATTTAATAAAACAGGCCTCTAATTTAACAATAACATTCAATTTTTCAAAATATTTTTCTTGTAATAGCAACAGTTCGTTGAGTTGGATGAAAACAGAATGAGATTATTGCAGAAATGCAAGGAACTTATGAAGAGAGCTAGGCAAGTATGTAACCTGAGTGCAGAACAGATTGTGCCTCAAGAATATCAGACAGTAAGTATAAAAAGTATATAATGCTACGTTGCTATAACACATTGTTTTAAGCTTAACATATCCTAGGCATTGTAACAGACCATGAAAAACATGGTATGTCATGAAAAAAATGTTTTCCCCAAGCTTAAACTGAATATATATAAAGTAATTTTGCTTAACAGATTTTCTCTACTCACATTTAGCCACCAGTCAGTCTTATTGCTTAGTACTAAAATTGTTAAAACATAGGAATTACCTTAGAAAATTATTAGTATTACAACATTTATCCTTTCAATAAAAGTGGACTTTTCCCCTAGACCACCTTTAAAAGGTACAGTTAGAAGTACAGAGTATAGTTTTTCATGGAAACCAGTAGTTGGTATGTAAGAAACAGTAAATGACAAGATTTTTAGAAAAACAAAGGCAAAATGAAAAAGTTTTTACAGAAATTGGTGTGTTTAATTAGGGCTCATTGGGAGCTAAATCCTCACGGCTAATGTCTGTCAGTAAGGAAAGGAAAAAAAGAACCTTTTCATATTTCCATTTTATTTCATAGGCTGATGATGCATCACTAAGTAGAACTAGGAAATGCTGTCCTTTAGTGTACATTCTAACATATGTACCTCTGTGATCCTAAGCTTTATCTGACAAGTTCGGGTGATACTTTCAAAATAAAATTAGAAAATGAGTTTTAAAATAGCTAGTATTTGAAATTTTTCTATTTCAATAAATGATGAAATGTCCACTAAACAGAACTGGGGAAAAAAAAAAAAAAAGATTCATTTGGATAATAATTGTCAGATCCTCAGAGGATTTATTTTAGGACACCAGACACAGAAACCTCAGAGAATGGGTTTGACTGAGTACATAGTAGGAATCCAATAGAAGTTTGTGAAACTAATTGAGAAATTTGTTTCAAATGATAATAATAAGCTGGGCACTGGTGGCTCACACCTAGGTACTTGGGAGGCAGAGATCAGGAGGATCAAGGTTTGAAACCAACCCAGGCAAATAGTTTGTGAGACCCTATCTCGAAAACACCTAACACAAAAAGGGCTGGTGGAGTGGCTCCAGGTATAGGCCCTGAGTTCAAGCCCCAGTACTGAAAAAAAAAAAGAAAAAAGAGTTTGTTTTCATAAAATAAATATTAGTGCAGTATCAGGAAATAACCTGATCATTGATGATTTACACTGTTTTTGAAAAAGATAACTAATGCATTCATTAAACTAGGGCTTGAGATGTACCTCAAGTAGTAGAGTACTTGTTGAAACACCAGTACCACCAAAAAAAAAATTATAAATAACATATATTGATTAGCTGCTATGTAACAGGTATTGAATAACACAGATATACACTTCCTTCTTTACTGAAACTTCTCCGTTCTAGTAGGAGATGCTAAGAAGGAAAATGAAACAAGGTAAAGGGATAGAGTGACAAGATGGGTTATCTCCTTTTTTTTTTTTTTTTTTTTCAGTATTGGGGATCAAGCCCAGGCCTTGCACATGATAAGCAGGCACTCTTCTATTGAACTACATCCCAATCCGTGGGTTATATTCTTTTTGAGATGAAATCCACTTCAGGATCTTAAACACAAGAGTCGTATTCTCAAGTTCAGTTTATTAAAGAGTACTCTGACTTGTCAATGGAGATTATAGATACAAGAGTGGAAGCAGGAAGACTATTTAATAGGTTATTGCTTTGGACCTGGCAACAAATTATCATGGCATGGCTTAGAGCAGTAGCATTGGAGAAAGAGGGGTTGATAGATTTGAGGTATCTTTTAATGACAGAGTCAGTAGGACTTACTGATGGATTTGAGATGAAGAGTAAGAAAGAACCCCTCTGTTTTTCACATGAACAAATAGTGATGCTATTTACAGAGATGGAGAAGATTGAAAGAGAAAGGTTTGCTGAAAGTGGTATGGGGGAAGCAGGTGAAATGAAGATTCTGTTTCACTATGTTAAATAGAAGTCTGTTAAGAGTCACATGAAGATACCACGTTTGGGCTTATAAAAGTTCAGACCTCAGCAAACAACGAATATCCGAAGGTCTATAAAAATTGAAATTCATTCAAGGTATAAGTTTAAGATATTAGATTATTATTACACATCAGAATATTTTTTAGGGGTACAAGATTGATTTTGTACCTTTTAGTATTTGGACTTTGCAGATTGTGCTAGGCCAAACAATGTACTGCTTATCTTCCCTCATAGGAAAGTATCTGTTCTAATTTATCTCTACGGCATAGATTCGGAAGATAGCCCTATGATGAAGTTCTGCTGTCAAAGTAATTGGATTCTTAGGATGCTTTTGTAGTTCTTCATAAGTATAGTATAAAGTTCTAACTTCTTGCTCTCTTTCAATGCCCCACATATTCTGGACCCATTCTACCAATTCAGCAAGTACCCACCATTCCAAATGGACACAACTCCTCACTCCCCATGGTATGCAGTGCTCATTCTTTTTTCCAAACTTCTATCCTCTCTCTGCTTTGCTTTTCTTTAGTCATTTGCTTTACGGCCAGAGATGAATTCTAGGCCTTTGAATTCTCTTAATTCTCCTGTAGCATGAAACAACACTTCCTTTCTCTAAATTCCATAGCCTATATATGTACTGCTTATTTTAATACTCAACATCAATACATTGCCTTAAGGTATTATCCAATATATACATTTTGTTTTCTTTTAAAGTGTAAGCTTTTTGAAGGCAAAAGACCCTGTTTATGATTACTTTGTGTTGTGTGCTGGCATGCTGTTGATCAAATAGTAGATACTTACTCAAGATTATTTTTCTTTTAATTAATTGAATGGAACTGTTTTCACTATATTCACTAATGGTTGAGACAATTGTTTTTTCTTCAGGCTTTCCAAGATCTTCCAAATACATTGGATGAAATTGATGCTTTATTAACTGAGGAAAGATCAAGAGCCTCCTGCTTCACAGGACTGAATCCTACAGTATGTATCTTTTCCTATTCCCATTCTGCAGCTGCCACTACTGCTGTCCTCCCCGTATATACACAGTACACACACACACACACACACACACACACACACACACACACACACACTCTCTCTCTCTCTCTCTCTCTCTCTCTCTCTCTCTCTCTCTCTCACACTTACTTCCTTCCAGTACTTGCCTCCCACTCTGTACTAGAGCTCTTGGTAATAATAAGCTAGACAGCAGGAACAATGTGCTTTAAATGCCAGATTCTGAATCTATTAGAATTTTAAATAGATTCTTCCTAAAGAACACAGTGTTCTGTGCCCTTTTTTTTTTAATATAAAAAGAATAGTTGGGTTAACTTAAAATATAGCTGTGTCTATTTTTTCAAGGATTAAAAAATGTCATTTTCAGAATGTAATAAGAACATGACTTAATTTCGTACAAACAGTGCAACACAATTGGCATTTTAGTTAATGTTTTCATTGATGCAAATTTTTATGTTTATCCTTTGATAGGCTTATCTTACAGAAACATTTTTTTCCTGCCAGGTGGTTGAAGAATATACAAAAAGAGAAGAAGAAATAGAGCAGTTAACTGAAGAACTAAAGGGAAAGAGAGTTGAACTGGATAAATACAGGGAAAGCATTTCACAGGTAATTTTAAATTTGTTATCCTTTCTTTTTTGTCATATGCTTCCCATTAACAGTACAGCATGCAGAGTACTACAAAAGGGAATAATGTGCTCCAAAGAAAAAGTGTGTCCTGCAAAACTAGGAATCTCCCTATATAGCTATCCTTACCTCAACTAGCAAAATCCCCTGGTCCTCCTTATTAATGTTTATACTCTCTTCAACAAAATTGAGATAAGGGCAAAACAGTATCTGCTTGGAAGCGAGGGGGTGGGCGTGAGAGGGAAGGGGTGGAGGCAAAGGGAGGGGGCGGGGGGAAGTGGGAAGTAATGACCCGATCATTGTATGCACAGAGGAATAAAGAAAATTAAAAAAAAAAAAAAGGAAAAAGTGTGTCCTTATGACCAGTTTGATACTAATGTAAAATCTGTTCTGTATAAAGTTTTGTATCTGAATGTAATAATACTTCTTCTAAACTGTGTTTTTAAAATTGTCTTTATTTGTAGGTAAAAGAAAGGTGGCTTAATCCCTTAAAGGAGCTAGTAGAAAAAATTAATGAAAAATTCAGCAATTTTTTTAGTTCCATGCAGTGTGCTGGTGAAGTTGATCTCCACACAGAAAATGAGGTAAAATCACATTTGGAATTTATTTCTTGTAATTTTAATGAAGTGTAGAAAGTACGTGTAAGTTAGACTTGTATTTGAAATTTTTGCTCACTAAAAAATTACCCAAAGAAAGGAAAAGACCATCTATGGGATTCCATTAAGGTCTTTTTGTGTGTGTGGGAATATGAGGGGTAATGTTTGAGATAAATGACTAATATCTTACCAGCTCTATTTATATCCAGTCCAAGTAATCGTTATTTAGCTCTATGAATAAGAACATTGCTTTACAAATCTACCACTGCCCTACTTAACCAGATTAGCAAACATAACTGAAATATGTATTGGTGGTTCTGTTTTGATGAAGAGTTTAGGAATTCACAATACAGGCATGATGCAGTCCCGTAATCCCAGCACTCAGGAGGCGGAGGCAGGAGGATTGTAAGTTTGAAGTCAGCCTGGACCAAGTTAACAAGACCCTAATTCATAAACAAAATAGTTCAAGTGTTGGAGCACAAACATGAAGCCCTGGGTTCAATCCCCAGTACAAAAAAAAAAAAACTCTGTAAAAGGGGGCTGGTGGTACAGTATGTTCTTAGCATGCATGAGTCCCTGGGAGATTGCAGCTTTACAGTTTTGCATTTTACCATGTATGCAGTTTTGCACTCTGTTAAATATATAAATATAAAGCAAGGTGTCACTGTTTTCTCCTCTTGAGTTTTGCCCCATGACTTATCTGCTTAGTATGAATCATAAGTGTGAAACATTACATTTTTAAAATCTTTTTTGGTTTTGGGTTTAATTTTGGGGTGGGTATGGCTGGGAGGTTGAACTCAGGGCCCTGTGCTTGGTAGGCAGGTGCTCTACCACTTAAGCCATTCCGCCAACTGATACATTTTTTAAGTTCTAAGTCTAAGGTATTAGGCCCTACCAAAGTAGTTGTTATTCACACAGCCTTTTGGCTTATTAGAACAAGAATATATCCTTGTTATGAAAGAAGTATTGTAGTTTCAATATGTAATTTCTAATATGCTTTCTTTACACCACTAACTTGTACATTTATCTTGTTTAATCCTTACAGTCTTATGAGCACAGGTACTTTTATCCACCATATTTCATAAACAAGCTAACTAAAACTTAAGATAAGTTTACAGAAGGTCACATAGCTTCTTAGTGGCAAAGATTCAAACTCCAGAAACTTGACCCCAGAGCCTAAGCTCTCAGAGAAATTTGATTCCTGGAAATATCATCAGACTCTTAAGTAACAATAGTATCTTCATCAGTAGGTTGACCATGTGAGGCATAAATATGATCACATCAGCCCACCCTATGGAACTTGACTTGTCATAGCATTCCTGTCCTTTAAATCCTAGTACATGGTTCTGTAACTTTTTCATGTGCTGTTTCTTCTTCTGGTTAGCTTTTTGTGTGTTTTTGAGGGATAACTGCATTGCAGGAGAAATGATTCTCATTGTTTTCAGTGAAGTTCTGTTACCTAGCATTAGGCTTTTAGGATATTCTTCTCAGCTAGCGCCTTTCTTCCTTTTCTATTCTGCCCTCCCTAGTCATGGTTTTAGAAGTGCCTCATTTAACAGAGTCTTCAGTGAGATGGAAGAATCTAAAATAGGGCAGAAAGTACAAAGAGTGGGTAACAGCCAAAAAACAAAATTCTAGTAATCAAAGCTGGTATAGTCAGGAAGTTTTATAATTAATAAAATTATCATGAAAGAAATGTAGTAAGTTAAAAAGTAAATCTTGGGAGTTGAAATTATTATAAATTTATTATATGGTTGTTATTTATTTTGGTTTGTTTGGGGGAGGGGCAAACAGATTGAAAGTGGTAGATATTTGATAGCCTATTAGAATACGTACATTTATAGTTGAAGAGGTTTACGTTTTTATAAAAGTTATTACTATTAACCTTAGACCTCTGGCTGATGAAGTCACTGCTACCCAGAAACATCTTTCTATTGAGCAGGGAAACATGGAAATTGTTCTTCAGTCTATAATATATACCAGTTTTCAAAAATGTACTATGAAAAAATACAATATTTCACTAATAGTATTTGTGTTATTGTTCTTCAGTCTATAATATATACCAGTTTTCAAAAATGTACTATGAAAAAATATAATATTTCACTAATAGTATTTGTATTATGATTGTATGTCAAAATGATATTTTGGATATACTGGTTCATTTTTAAAATTAATTTTACCTAATGTGCTAGAAATTTTTTAATTGCTTATGTTGCATATCTCACTTTTAAGGTAAATCTGAACCTGGATGATCTAGAAATGACAAATAATAGTGATAAAAGCATTAAGTAAATCTTAGAATAGGCTCAGTTTTGACAAAATGTACAGAACACTGAATGCAGTCATTGTAACAATATTTGTTAAGCAACTCTAGGTGTTCGGTGTTTTACTAAGTATTGTGTGTGTATATATGACGTAATACAGTTTTTCAAAATATGCAAATAATACCTACCTAAATTTTTTTATTATTACTAGCTAGCTGAAGAAATGGGGAGAACTTGTAGCCCTCTGCAAGGCATACACAGCAGCTTCTGTAGCAGAAAATGTCATGGCACGCCACTGTGTTTAAATTAGCTTTACCTAGTACTTTGGAATCAGGTGTGGTGGCTCACACCTGTAAACCCAGGTCCTTGGAGGTGGAGGCTCATAGGGTAGAGTGTTTGCAGCAAGGATGAAGTACTCAAATCAATCCCCAGTATTGCAAAGCAAAACAAAACACCTAGCCCTTTAGAACTAGAATAGATGGTACCTTTCCATGGCATGTCTCCTCAGTCAGTAATTTCTAAAACTTCTTTGGGAAAGCCTGTTAAAGCTAGAAAGAATACTATAGAGCAGGAAGAAGATTACTTTTAATCTTAATAATTCCTTGTCTAAATAGATCCTTGGAAGCTCTTAAAGTTTTTAGACAAAAACTGCTTGATTGTTACTTTATTGTTTTACTTTTAAACAAGTATCACTAACTAATTGTTCTTTACTCTTACGATTGTTTTATTTGATCTATTTTCAAATAATAAAGTTAAATTAGCAGAGAAAACTCAGTTTTTCACTTTCTAAATTTTTTATAGGAGGACTATGATAAATATGGAATCCGAATTAGAGTCAAATTTCGAAGTAGTACTCAACTGCACGAATTGACTCCTCATCATCAAAGTGGAGGTGAAAGAAGTGTTTCCACTATGTTATACTTGATGGCACTTCAGGAGCTTAATAGATGTCCATTCAGAGTGGTCGATGAAATCAATCAGGTAGAGCAAGTATCCTTTTATTTGATCTTATTGTATCCTATAATAGACATAAATGTTATTATTATTGTCATGATTTAGGGTATGGACCCAATCAATGAACGGAGAGTGTTTGAAATGGTTGTAAATACTGCCTGTAAAGAAAATACATCTCAATACTTCTTCATTACACCAAAGGTAAGTAACCTCAAAGTGCTCAGACACTCAGAAAAGTAAGTCCTCTGTGGCTTACTTATATGCAGATTTTAGCCCAGTTCATAAATATGAGTAGAAAAATTTACAAAAAAAGAAGCTAAAATGATTATAGTACTATTAATAAACATTTACATAAAGGGGCATACTTAATCAGAACCTTCATTATCCAAGGAAGAAATTTAGGAAACATTTCATTGTGTTCTAGGACCAAAATTTCTTCCCTGCTTTTGGCACTTGTTCCTCTTTTAGAGAATTTCTTTTTAGCACTAAAAGATCATTGAGGAATGCAAACCCTAGAGGGGTAACCCTCTGCATTTTATCAGAAAGACCTTCCTGTCACATATTGGCCATCTCTCTTCACCACTGCCATTACCCTGGCCCAGACATTTACTTGCAGATTAACTTTGATAACAACACAATTACCTTTAAAGAGAATTTTCTGTAATCTAAAACCCTTACAATGAGAAATTTGTTACTTCTAGTGCTATGAATAAATAATAAAATGGATGTACTCAAAGATGTATTTATTAATGTAATCAGATTTTTTATTTTTCATGAAAATTTTCATCAGAGATCCCATCCTAAATTCAGTTTTTTATTTGGATTTTAGCATCTTATTTTTTTCAGCAGATACTCTGTGGAATAGCCAAATCTGATAATATTCTATTTCTTACCAAACATCTTGGCCTAAAAACCAAACCTCCCTGCACTTGCAGGGACTAGCAGTCTATCACAGTGCTTAACCATAGAAGGTACGTGAAAAGTGTGGATAAAAGTAAAAGTATCCTAGGAAAATTGTGTGGGATGTGTTCTTCTCTAGAGTCTACTAGGGAGCTTTATTATCCCAGTTGTCCTGTGAATATTGAGGACTTCCAGGCATGTCCATTATTCCAAGACAGTTAGTAGGCCAGGCTTAAGGTATGTTAATTCAGGTAGCGATTACAGGCGGGCCAGGTTTATAGCGAGGTGCTCTCGAGCTTCCTAAGAATTTTATTAATAAAATAATATACTTATACACATGTGAGATTGGAAAACTGTGCTTCTCAGTGTGTAATGTTATGATAATTTATCTGTGTTAATGCTTACAGCTCCTGCAAAATCTTCCTTATTCTGAAAAGATGACAGTGTTGTTCGTCTACAATGGTCCTCATATGCTGGAACCAAACAGATGGAATTTAAAGGCTTTCCAGAGGCGGCGGCGCCGTATCACATTCACTCAACCTTCTCAGTAAAATTAAAGGGAGAGAACTTTGGGGTTTTCCTTTTAACTGCTTATATGTGTGGCTCAACTAATAAAAGTTAGCAGATTTATTAAAACAAAAAGATTGGTTATTTATGGAAACCTGCTTTTAAATGCATACAGGGTGATGAAATGGAGACCATAATGACTCTTTCTGTGGAACATTATCTGGTAGTGAAAGTTAAGTCTTCAATACCTGTTGAACTTGAGGCAGTAGTACTCTGTGAGTTATTGGGCTCTCATGTTTAAAGGTATTGATTAGTGCAAATCAAAGGTGGGATGGAACAGGGGGTCTCAGTCACAAAGGAGTCTACTTGACATGGTAACCCTGAGCTTTAATTGCAAAATAACTTTACTTTTTAGAGCCTAAAAATGACTCCAGAACTTAAATTCTAATTTTCTCCTAGTGTTATATTTAATTTTTTTAAATTGATGTGGGAGTGTCTAATCTAATGTATAGTAATTTATTAATTTCTTCCTGTTAAAAAAAGTTACCTTATCTTCACAGGAAATGGACTTTTATGGGCCTTTAATGTTTTATGAAACTTGATGCTATAATTATATTGGTATTTCAAAGGGGGAAAAAAAATTGGGCTTCAGAAATGGTAGCAGGACTTTGAAAAGCCACAAGGTGGCCCACTAGGTGATGCAAAATGCAGCCAAAAGATTGAAAGAGATTAAAATCAGTTGACAAAGGGTTTTTAAAGAATAACGTTGTAAAGAGCGTGTACATGTGTGTTTGGGAGGGAGTTTCTTGTTTTGTTTTTTAATTTAAAGTCAATTGTATTTTACATCTTAAATTTCTGAAAGCATTTTTATAATTATTTTTAGTAAGATTTTTATTAAGATTTCATATACTGGTTTCTACAATTTGTATTTGAAATTTCTTAGTGCTATGTAAAATGTGAAGGAAAGCATTGATTTGTTTGAGACCATAATGTTTTTAGAGTTTAAATTTATAGGTCCTTCCTTATAGTGTTGCACCCATTATCTTTAAAAATCTAGTTTGTTTTCTTCCAGCTTGAAAGAAAACCATTTGTTTCCTCTGAGTTATGCTAATTAACAGTGCCAAATTCTATTCTTTTAAAAAATAAACCTTGTAAGAAAATCAAACAGTCCAAGAACATGTCTTTGAATAGTGGATTCAATTAGATCTGTGTTGGTAATGACAGATTTTTTTTTTTTTTACTTGCTAGCCTGAATAAATTAAAGAATTGCATTCAGTTTGGGTTTTGTATATTATTAAATAGCCATTGAAATTTATATTCTTATTAGATCAAAAAATAATGAACTGAGTTTTTGTTCTCTCACTTAGACATTTTCTCTATAAAAAGTGTTTTTCTTTATAAAAAATTTTAAAAGTGCCCTCCCCTCTTAAACTAAATCTAATGCATGAAGTATGAAAATATTTTAAAATACATTTTTACAAGTATGAATAAATCATATTAACATTGAAAAATTTGGTAACATATTAGTGAACTGGCTGTTGCCAAACATTTCTCTTGTTATGTTGTTTTCCACTGTAATACCGTTATTAATATGTGCTTGGTGTAGTTTGTTTATTGTCTGAGTAACTACCATCTTACTTTGCAGAATGAACATCAGTGTGAAAATGAAGATGATCAAAGATTAAGCATATTTGAAAATAAAATGGTCAATTTACATTTTAATTTATATGTGCCAAGTTATTCCATACCTTGTTTATAAGCATTTATATTTCTCTCTACTAGACAAGGTAATATTTTGTTTTTATTGAATTTCAGGCTGTGACAGATAAATTATGTATTGTTTTAGTATATTAAAGAATAAGTCTAGCACAGTATAATGTCATATATTTTCTGCAAATGTTGATTTTTAATTACTTTCATATTGTAGAAACTTTAAGTAAAAGCCTGATTTGATGTATAAAATAACATTTAAAACCCTAAGGTGATGACTAAATTTTGAGGACTAAATCTTCAATGATTTACCTAAAGAGAGTCTCTGTTAAAAGTAATGGAAATATAATCAAAGCAAGAAGAATGATTTCTTGCTGTCTTCTGATTGTCTTAGACAAATGCCTGTTTGTTTGCCGTATGTACCTTTTTTAGTATGTGAAAAACATAATTTCATCATGATATTATGTGTGTACATGTGTACAGTTGGTTAAAAACTGTTCAAAATGCTACTTTGTTGGTAATAAATACATATTTTCATATTTGTTGGGTATGTTACTTAAAATGAGATTTTTTTCTTTTAGACTTTGAATCTTTTTTAAAGTCATTTTCAGATTTACTAAAAAAAAAAAAGAAAAATGTCTTGGGTGCCTAGCATTTACGATAGTGTTTGGAAGTCTATTAGTATTGAAAAGAGAAAATTTAGCCAAGCTATAAGACAAGTATGAATATTTTTGTTGCAATACTAAATTTGCTAAAAACATGCTCAGTAGCCAATTTTACCTTATTGTTTCTTACATTAAACTATTATCCTTAGTAATTTTTTTAAATGTAACTACAGTGAAGTATACTTTATCACTTGCTCGCAGGCAAGTCCCTTGGACCATTTCCACACTGGTGAAATATACCTGATTGACAGAGCTATTGAGAAGATAAATAAAATAAATGGCCTATAGGGAGCCTGGCATCGTAGTAGGTGCTTTGTAAATGTTTACTTCTTTACTTATTCTAAATTTTAAAAGATGTAATATACTGGGTACATACTTTGTAAATTCTGAGTTAATACAGAAGTTCTTACTCTATTTTACTGGTCAGTAGGTCAGTTGTTCAAAGGAAATATATAACCTATAGACTTTGAGCCTTGGGCATTATAGAATAAGTATTTTCATATACCTTGTTACCATCATGAAATCTGAATGTAAGTTAGATGAGCTAGCCTAAAGATGTTTATACTAATCCATCTCATTGTTTTATAGTCTTACCATATATTTTGGAAATTTTACAATGAATTTGCATATGTGGGAGATTTGACTGTGTTGATAATTTGGGCTTACTTTTATTCCCAGTGGAGAAGTTGGGAGTGGCTGATCTTTTAATATATGAAATATAACTGCAGTCATGTACCACATAATAACTTTTTTCTTTCTCTCTTTTTTTTTTTTTTTTTTTTTGAGACAGGGTCTGTAGCCCAGGTGGCTTAGAACTCACAGTCCTCCCACCTCAGCCTCCCCAGTGCTAGTATTACAAGTGTGTACCACCTTGCCAGGCCATGATGTTTTAGTCAACAACAGGCCCCTTACATGGTGGTGGTTCCATAAGATTATATTGACTAGTGGCATTGTATACTTAAGATGTTTACACCAAACAGAATCACCTAACAACCCACTTCTCAGAATATGCCCCTGTCATTACATGTGACTATATTTGCTCATTGTTCCAAAGTAATTTACTGGCAAGTGGCTGGAAGATTTAAGAAAAAGAAAAGAAAAAAAAAGCCTTATTTATCCTAAAGAGAAAGCACAGGGCCTTGCCACTTGACTTCACTATAAGCTGTGCTAAGGGGACTTGGTAACGCTGAAGGCTGCCTAAAAATAGCTCTGACTCTGGTCCTGCCGTCATCAGAGAGGCTGTAATCTGGATGAGCTATTTCTAGACAGGTCAGAAATACCTGAAAGGTGTTCTCTTTCCACACGCATTATTGTCTTACCTGTCTGACCATCTCTCAGGAAAGTACTTACACACTCTTGGCATTCAGTCTGTGCATTCAGAGCGAAAGAGGAGGAGATGGAATGCCAAGAGAGTTGTGTAGCCATTCACAACAATTTTCTAAAGAGTGGATTGAAAGAAATAATCCCATTGGGAACAGGAGGTGATATAAGTTTTACGTTGTTTCATATTATTTAAAATCTTAGTTTAGTCATGGTGATCTCTGTGTCACATCACAGTCTTTACCTTCATATGTTAGATATTAGACTTAGAAGGAATCTTGCAAGTGACTTAGGTCATTCCTTCTTTTTACAGTCATAAATCATGAAAAGGAGTCCTTTGAGTGATTAAGGCTCACATCAATAAGCCTACATGTGAGTTATTTTGTAAACTAAGTGCTACACTAATTTGTTTATATGCTATATTACAATTTATATGATTTTAATATAATTGTATACAGCAACCCTGTACTGTTGCTAGAGAAAAAGGGAGTTAACAAAGTTATAACTCGTTTAAGCTCTTGCTACTGATAAATGACGGGTGAGACTAGAAAATTGGGTCTAATTTTTTTGTTTTTTGAATACTCTCCTGACTTGCTATCAAGCTGTCTTTTTGAGTTGTTGAAGCTGTACCATATGCAGTTCCTACTTACATATTTAACTTCGCAGGTAAGATATTTCTTCTCCAGTATGCCCCCAAATTAGTTAGGATACAGATTTCTTCTGCTTCTGTAGCGAAGACCCAAATATAACTGACACAAGTAGATGTTTAGTTGTAGCAGCATAAGCAGTCTGTGGCTGGTATGCCAACTCATTCAACTTCTGTTGTGTTGTTGTGCCTTCCCCAGAAACCCATGGATTCCTTCTCACAGTCCAGGATGGCTGCTTTAGCCCTTACCAACATATCTATATGTAAAACATCAAGAATAGAGAAAGGGATAGGAGAGGGCATGACCACTCTTTTTAAGAACATAATCATATTACTTTCATTCTTGTCTCAAACTTAGTCACATAGCCTGATCTATCTGCAAGAGAGGCTTGACTGTGTCATCTTTATATTGCATTACCATGTACCTAAGTAAAGTCCAGCTACTCTTCTCAAAAAAGGAAAGGTGAATATCAGGACATTTGGGAATCTATGCCATCAACTCCAAGAAATAA